TTTTCTTGTATTTTATCGCTCTGCTGACCCTTGGGGTCCATTTTATTTTGGTATACCTTTTCTAGGTACGTTAGCCTGTGACCACGGAAATTGGCCGAGTCAAGTGATGGATTAGTACGGAGAGATTGAGACAGAAGGAGGTACTGGATAGAGAGACCGGGATGGTTTTTAATGTGAAGACAACAACAACAACAACAACACCAGCTCCGGCCAAGGGGGTGATAACCCTCCCACCTTGTGTCAATGTTGTGCTGCACTGCAAGCTGAGCGCCTGAGGCCCACCGATGTGCTCCTGTACCCTTCGGCCCAAAGCACTCGGTGGGGGAGGAAGCTCCTGTCCCTCGTGGTCAACTTGCAACACAGCTTGGTGGTTCGAGTCCGAATCCGCAGCAGGGGTGTCCATAGCGCTCGTGCGAAAAATCGCTAGAAGCAAGAGAAACAAGAGGCCTCATGATCGTGTTTCTGCGTGCTGGACTGCGGCCTCTCTTGCACCCAGGGCGAGTCGGGTGCTCGGCAACGTTGCAACTCCCAAGCTTTTTTTTTTGGGTAGGGGACGCTGCTACTGCTATCCCCGTCGTTATTTAGTTCCTTCTCGACGGTCTACTCGTCCAGTCCAGCCCTCGTCGACGCAGGTATCCACAGCTCAATTCGGGCTCAATTCGGGCTCAATTCGGTTCGATACACAATTTTCGATAGCTCCGTTCCCAGCTCCGATGACTCTTATATGCGACATTTATTTGTCTTGTGTCATTTTTGGTAGGTGTATCATCGTAATAATATTCGACTTCCCAATTGTCAATCATCGTAATAATGTTCACGAAAAGATTCGACTTCACGGTGTCGATGACGGAAAATGGACAGCTGACAATACCTTCTGGCGAAAAAATTAAGGATAACTTTGGGTTTCCCCGCTGACTCAAAAAAGACCAGTTCAGCGATTTTCACCAGTCCGGCCCCAAAAAACACCAGTTCGGCTATTGCGCCGCTCTGAACAGGTGAAAATGAGCTGGTGTTTTTTTTTTTCAGAGCTGGTAAAAAAGTCCATCTGTAATTCACCTGTTTAGTTTTTGCGTGTTCGGGAGGCGAAGCGGTACATAGCGAGATCGAGTCGTTCCTACAGCAGTTGCGCGCAACACCCAGTGGCGAGGCAGCTGGGAGTCTTGTGCATCAGTGGGTGTGGACGTGTCATTCGGTGGGTTCCGCTGGGAGAGTGATTTCTTCTTTAGAAGTGGTGTTTTTTGCACCTGGAAGTCGTCACGTCCTCTTGCTTGAACCGAGATCAAAGCGCGTATCACAAGGAGTGCCTTGGTTGTGAGTACAGAGTACTCGTGCTTGCGGCAGCGCAGGAACCCTGCGCCGCGCCGCGTACGCGTCTAGAGCGAGGCGGGCGCTGTGTTTTGCTGATTCAGCTTTCGCGGGCGCGCCAAGTGTGGCGGTCACGGAGTTCTTTCTGGTTGCATGGGCGACAACAGCGACGGCGTGTTAGACTTGACTCACCTGAGCACGGATAACAACTCGACTCTCTTGTACGAGACGGACTCGAACCCGGACATGTTCAGTGTCCACACCACCCCGGGGAAGCCGAGGGTGCGTCAGCCGCAGCGTTCGTCGCCTCGAATCCGCGACCGCCGGGGTACGAAGGTAGATGTTGCGAGCTTATCGCCTACCTCGTCACCTGCGAGTGGTCTCAACTCCCCGCAGACCGGGGGGGTCGCGTCATCAGCTAGCCGCAGGACGTCTCCGCGCACCCCGAAGCGAACGAGTGCACCCGAGGACGAGGGGTACGAGACGAAGTACGTTAAGCCTGTTCCCCAGCGTTTCAGCCGTGCTGCCGGCGGGAAGGACGGCGGCGGCGGCGGCGGTTCTTTTGGGTCACCGCTTCTCGTCAGCTCAAGCCAAGGCAGCGGCGACAATGATGAGGCGGAGGGAGAGTCCTCGCCGGGCACCGGGGGTAGTAGTGAGGGCGGAGGCGGCAAGGGGAAGGAGCCGGAGAGGAGAAATGCTGGGCCTGAGGTTAAAAAATCTGGCAAAGGTGTGTGCTCGAAGGATGTAGTCGTGACTATGATTGTGCGCCCTTCTGAGAGGAATTGTGAGAGGACTGAAAATATGTTCACACGTAGTCTATGTCTGTTTTCATGCGCCCGCTGTGAAGAAGGGTGTAAGTTTTGGATCCTGTACGTCATGAGGCACCTGCACATCGTGATGTTCCCTCAACCATGTACACTTGTGGCATACGTCGTGTCCGTTTCCCAATAAGTTTTCAGTACGTGTGCTTGACTGACTGTGTTTTCTTCGCGGCGGCAATGGTTGAGATATGCATGCAGCATGCCGCAGAAAAAAAATGCAGAGAACAGCCTGAAAACTTCAATTAATTGTTTGCAAACGTTAGCTTCGAATCGAATGCAGGATGTGGGATCCGCAATGCCATCTTCTGTACAAGACAAATTACAGAGCAGTGCTGTACTTCGGTGGGGCGCCTCCCGTGAAGTGAGTGGCGACCCAACCCCTTCAAGTCGTGGCTAACGTACGACGTCCATCATCCTAACTCTTGTACCCCAACTCTCGTTTGCCTTGCATTCCTGATCAGAGACAGGCCCGCGGTGGTGGACTCAGCAGGGAGAGAGGGAGCTTCTGTGGCGGCTCATACCGAAGCACTTAGCGTCCAAGCACTCGGCCAAGAAGGCTAAGGATGAGGAGTGGTGGAAATGCGCACAGGCCCTCTCGAAGAAGGTCGAGATGACAAATACGGGTCAAGGAAGTGCAAAAGGACGGCAACCTGGAACTCGTCACGAAGGTCACAGTCGACATGGGGAGGAAGATGGAGGTGGGTAGACGCTGCGGATATTGTTCTTGTATTTCGGATTGCGGTTCGATCTTCATCAAGCTTAACTCGCCCAACTTAGGACTTGCTTAGGATCACGTATGCGGCGAGTAGGATAATTCTTTAGCATCCGAGACAATGACAAGTTTTACCCTTTTTTTGTTGACGGTACCTATGAAGCCAAATAAAGCGTTGTGGGGGGCGGGGGCGGTGGCAGAAGGTATGTATTGAAGAGGGTGGGCTGTAAAGAAGAAGGCCTCCGTGCCAGGAACGAATGCAGAATTTATGAAAACGGTTGCGAAACAACCCATCACCTAACCACTTTGAAATGTAGCTGTGTGTGAACCCGTTGTCGTCTAGTCGCACAAACGGCGCCCATTTCACAATGCCGCCTAACGACACTACTCACTGTTGTTCCTACATATCGCCGAAGTATTTGCACGAAAACGCTGGGTTATGAGAGATAAGAGCTCCCCCACCCCGTGTACCTCAGACAGTGTTCGGTTAGCCGTGGCGGACATGATATAGTAACGATAGCATTGTCGTTCGAGAGACTCGCCCCCCTTGATTTTTCCCGTTCGCACCGATGTCACAGGGACTGTCGCGGGAGGTCATCGTGGAAAAGCTGCGTAGCATCTTCAGCGCTCACCGAACGGCATGGAACAAGAGGCAGGAGAAGAAGAAGAGTCTCACCGGCGAGGGTGACGATGGCGATGACGAGGGAACGGAGGTGAGGTTGCAATGTACGACAGGAGACACCCATGGTTAGTTTTGCGGTGGAGGTTCCATGTCCGACACGTGCGTGCTTCCTCCAGTGAGATCCGAATCTCCATCCCCCCCGTCCCGGGGAACCTCAGGCTGTCACATTATTGTTCGCCTTTGAATATGGTCATTGAGTTTGCCTTCCAAGGAGACTCCAGGAACCGTCCAGTATTTGACTACCACGACCAAATCAGGCCCCCGCCTTTTCGAAAAGGGTTAGTGCGCATTCATCCCCCCCCCCTCTTTAAAAAAAAAAGAGAAATAATTAAAGAAAAGAAGGAAGATTCAAATCAGGAGCATCTGTTGAACTTCTGTCCCTGTCGGTTTCGATGTTGTGCATGGGTCCATGCGTTTCTCATGGGGTTATGCATCTTGACGCACACCTCCAGCTCTTTGCATTTCTTTGTGGTTTCAGGTGCAGAGCGTTCTCTATTTTTTGGGGGGCGGGGGGTGTATTTGATGTATAGCCTACGTGTGTACGGTTCGTCAGGCCAGTACATGTTGCCCGGTGTTCGACGTCCATTGGTAGTCGTATCTCGTCGCGCTCTTCGTTGTCGTTTCGTCTTTGCTAACTGCCATCAAGTTTCCTTCGACGTTGACATTTGTTCGTCTCTTTCATGAAACCAGGCCGAAGCGCTGGAGCAGGCGAGCATAGCCTGGGAGGCTGGACTGGTGGAGAAGGCCTCCAAGGACAAGACGAAGAAGGAGCATACGGCGGCGGCTAATCGTGCTCGCGACAAGGCCAAGGAACACCATGCCCGTTCGATGCAGAGCACGTCTGGAGCGGGCGCTTCGGCGAAATCCACGAACGGGAAGGGCAAGGCCAAGGAGAAGGGACGTGGACCGGTCCGCGACCAGGATCAGGTGACAACGAAGCGAGCGCGGTCTAGTACGGAGCCCCCGGCTTTGACGTTGGACCTAAACGATGGCGCCGGGGGCTCCGACGGGTCCGATTCATGCTCGTCCCGTCAGGGCAGGCGGAGGAGATCTGCGGTCAGCGTCGACGACTCTTCCGATGACGATGAAGAAACGAACGTGATGGACCAAGCGGTGCTAGATCTGGCATGCGGAAGGGGTGGGAGGTCCACCCGTGACAGGAAAGGAGGTGGGAAACGCAGGCGTAAAGTTCAGCCCCTCTCCAGCGGGATGGGCGGAGACCCCGTGTTGAACCAGATCATGGACTTGCTGCACTCGAAGGCAAGGGCCGGATCGGGGGGGCACGGCGAGGGACCTCCTCCAATGACGGAGGGCAGGGTCTGCGCCATCGTGGATGAACGGGTCGCAGCGGCAGTCGCCGCAGGTATGAGGCAATACGAGGCAGAGAGGCAGCAGCAGCACCAACAGCAATGGCAGCAGCGCCAGCCGCAGCCGCAGCCGAGCCCGTTCTACGCCCCGACCGGCGCTTTCCCACCCGCCCATTGGGCTGCGTCAGGCGTTGCTCCTGCCGGCATGCCAGGGCCCTCCGTCGGCGTTCACAGCACGATGTGGCCAGGTACGGCAGGGGGCGGGGGCGCGGCGGTGGGTATGGCGCAGGGTGGGGTTGGGATGAGCGCAGCTGGAGGGGCCTCGCACGGACATAGCTTCGCGGCGCCGAGGGAGGGAAAGACAGGGATCTCAGAGGCGCAAGAGGTCCGCGGGGGTGCGAGCAGCTCTCTCCCGGGTGTCAGCGGGGCAGATCCCCCACCATCGGCGCCGTCGACCAGGCCACCTAACTGTCAATGCGGTCAAGCGGCTCGACGAGTAGGACCCGTCAAAGCGGTAAGTAGATGTTTGTTTTTCAAACGTACCCGGCTTTTAAGGCTGTCTCCTTTCATTGATCCTAGCCTTGAGTTCGCTGACAGCGTTTGATCTTGGTGCGATTTTGCTTGACACCTTCGCACATGCCCATCCTAACCCACACATGCCCATCTATACCACCTGCCCCGGATCGCGGGACACAGGACGGTGCCGCGAACGGGACCATATCCTGGATGTGTGCCAAGGCGGACAGGAACCAACAGTGCAACTTCTTCGAGCTCATCAGCCGACCGGGAGGGGGAAGCACTTCCACCGGCCGCAACAACAGCGGCATGGGGGACGGCGGCACGCTTTCGCGGGGAGGCACAGACGGGAGGTCGGTGGGTGGGTATGCCGCTCCCACTGAGTCATCCCGCCGCCGCGCGGCCGACGTGTTTCAGGTTCGGCCTGGGCGCTCAAGGGGGGAAAGTGAGAAGTGATGTTAACCCCGGGCCGTACCAATTTCAAAGATGTCGACCTTCCACTCTCTTTGGTAATACCGGGCGGTGATGCGGGACGACAACCACCGGGCGGTGATTTGGTTGCTTTTGGTCCGCCTCGTTCACTTTTTTTCTGTTCATTGGAGGTTAGTGCGTGTGACCTCTCTCCATGTCGGCGTGTGGGTGTTGATGGCGTCGACTGGTTGAAGATATGGGTTCCGACACGTTTAGCCGGTGGCGTTCAACGAACGGAGAGTCCAAGAAGGTAGCCGCGTGTCTTGGGTTCTCATACCATCTTAACGAGTTGTGTTCGTGTTGTTTGCTGTTCACGTACTTGGTGAACGGTTGTCCACCTGTTCCGGGGG